AAAAAAAAAAAAGAATCTCATGGATTTGCCTTGCTCCAATTGGCTTCAAACTTTAATCCTCAGATCTCAGCCTCCTGAGTAGGATTATATACTGGAGTCACTCATGTCTGGCTGTGGACTTCCTACTTTTGCTTGGCTTTTCTTTTTCCCCTCATGGCTGACCCTATCATTTGAACCATACTTCTAGCTACCAGTAACTTGCTATTTTATTTTTATTAATTTTTTTTATTTTGAGATGGAGTTTTGCTATATAGCCCAGGCTCACCTTGGCCTCATGATTCTCCTCCTTCCCTGGCCTCTTGATTTCTGGGATTACAGTCATGTGCCACTGTGTCTGGCTTTTTAAATGTATGTGTGTATGTATGTATATGTGTGTGTGTGTGTGTGTATGTATGTATGTATGCATGCATGCATGCATGCCAGTAGTGGGGCTTGAACTAAGGGCCTGGGTACTGTCTTTGAGCTCTTTTGCTCAAGGATAAGTACTATACCACTTTGAACCACAGCACCACTTCTGATTTTCTGGTGGTTAATTGGAGATAAGAGTCTCCCAGACTGTTCTTCCCTGGGCTGGTTTTGAACTGCCATCCTTAGATCTCAGCCACCTGAGTAGCTAGGATTACAGGTGTGAGCCACCAGTGCCTGGCTATTATTTATTTATTTATTGCTGGTCATGGGGCCTGAGCTCTGGGCCTGGGCACTGAGCTCTGGGCCTGGGCACTGTCTGCTCTTCAGCTCAAGGCTAGCACTCTACCACCTGAGCCATAGCTCCACTTCTAGTTTTTTAGTGGTTAATTGGAGAGAAGAGTCTCACGGACTTTTCTGCTTGAGCTGGCTTTCAACCATGATCCTCAGATTGCAGCCTCCTGAGTAGCTACGAGCCCGTCTGTACTTAGTTATTATTTAGATAACGTCTTGCCTCCTGCCTAGGCACATGTGTACACTTGGCCACTTTCTGTTGAGATGGAGTCTCACAGACTTTTCTGTTCTGTCCAGACTGGCCTGGAAGAATGCATTCTTCCTGTTTAAGGCTACCATACAGCTACAGTTGAAAAGTTCAGTTAGAAGGAGTCTTGTCTGTGCTCAAGTTGCCTGTGAGCTGCAGTTCTCCCCATCTCAGCCCCTACGTAGTTAGGGTTATACTTGTGAGCCACCAGCAGTTGGCTCAAGCATACAACTAAAAAAAACCTAGAACTAAAACTAAACTAAAACTTAATTTCCTGAAATTTTAGATAAACTCAAAATGTGAATAAGTTGTTTGCCTTTTTTGGTGCTACTCCAGTCTGGCCTGTGGAAGCCTAGGTTTCCTTGTCACTGGGCTGTTGCACTTGTTGGCTTGACTTCCCCTCTGTTGCCTTCTCCAGCATCACAGGGATATTTAGGAATTATTCTCTAGCTTCAAAAAAAGGTCAGATCCAGCCCAAATTGTGTCAGATACCTCACCTTAAGGGATCTTACTTTTCTCACATAATGGAAATGTTCAGTGAGGTAATCTATGGAGGCCTACAAATATGAGACTTTGTCTTGCAATATCAGGTCTGTAACCACATAAAGAGTTCTCGTTACTGACTCATGACCAGTGCCACGGCCTTCCACGCTTATCTGTGCTCCTCCTTCCACAGGAGGACTTCTCCTGCTCCTGAGAATTTAATCTTTCTGCTCTCTTGGGCCAGTTGGCTGTTCTGTAGCCCTATGACCCCTGTGGCCAATACTTCTGTTAAGGTGCAGAGAGGGCCAAGGATCTTGATTCCTTGCTGTTCCAGTGTTGAGTCTGCTGTCTATGGTCCTACTGAGATGCCTATGTGATTTCCCTGTGGATGCTGTGTGCATTCTTTGGCCTGGTGACTCTTGCCCTTGCCTTTGAACCCCTCAGGCTTCATGTGGCTTGCTCTGAGCTCATCCCAAGGTCTGTTCAAATCCAGGGCCTAGGCATCTTTTGTGAAGAGTGTGGCTCAGGATTCAGAAGGGGGAGATGCAGTGTGAATGTCTTGCTGCCTATGTTCACCTTGAGTATTGCCTCAGGTTTTTGGAAGAGCGTAAAGAAATTATGGAGAAATTTGCTGCGGAACAAGATGCCTTCCTGCAGGACATCCAGGGGAAGCATGCTCATGAGCTCCAGCTCCTGCAGCAGGAACACCAGCAGCAGCTTCTCTCATTAAGGACAGAACTGGAGAAGAAGCAACAGGCTGAGCTTGCTGAGCAGAGAACTTCGCTTGAGAGTGAGCAGCGGGTGCTCTTTGAGAATCATATGGCTGAATTGCATGTGAAACATGCTGCGGAAATTAGTGCTTTGGAGACGAGACATTTGTCCAACCTGGATGCTCTGGAATCCTGTTACCTGGCTGACATTCAGAGTGTTCAGGATGAGCACAGGAAAGCTCTGGAGCTTTTGCGAGTAGAACTTGTGGAACAGCTGCAGAAAAAGGACTCCTGTCACCAAGCAATTTTGACCCAAGAGTTGGAGAAGCTTAAGCTGAAACATGATGGGGAGCTTCAGTCTCTAAAGGACAATCTGAGAATTGCAATGAGTGCTAAACATCCAGAGCCACTGACAGCCCAGACCATCGAGGTGCAAGGTGTACCCCAGGTGAGTTTCAAGGCCCCTTCCTCTGGCCCAGGGCACATCTGCACATTGTGTGTATTGGCTGCATATAGCATGTTTCTCTGTGTGTGCATTGGTGTGCATGCCTTTGCGTCAGTGTGTGTTTCTTAGTCTTCGTGTAACTCTCAAGTCATGTGCACATGTCTGTCTTGTACCCTTGGGTCTACCTGTGTGTCTTCACATCTCTGTGTGTGTTTGTGTGCATGTCCATGGACCTCACAAATGGCTGACAGCTCTGGTCTTTCTTGAGATGATCAGAACAGTGAGTTTCCATGTGTTTGGGGGCACTGTGTGCCTCATGTACATCAGCCTCTCCCTGTCTCTGTATGCAGTAAGTAAATCTGATTTTTTTTTGGGGGGGGGGGAGGGTCCGGTTGTGGGGCCTGAATTCTGGGCCTGGGTGCTGTCCCTCAGCTCTTCAGCTCAAGGCTAGCTCTCTACCACTTGAGCCACAGCGCCACTTCCGGCTTTTTTCTTTTTGCTTATGTGGTGCTGAGGAATCGAACACAGGGCCTCATGCATGCAAGGCAAGCACTCTACCACTGAGCCACCTTCCCAGCCCAGTAGATCTGATTTTTGTGTTGTACATACGGAGCCTTGGTTTTTCTTTTATTGATATTTCCTGAAATCACGGTTTTTTTCATTTCAAGAGCAGTGGTGGTTCTGATGGCAGGCACTTGAAGTTTTTGGCCAAGTCTCCATGGACCTGTATCCATCGCAGAGCCCATTTATCTGTGATCATGAATAGGCCATATCTGTCTGATTTAAAACCCATCCTAGTGTGTACACTGCACACTTTCTAGCCTATGGGAGTCTGTCTTCCTGAGGTAGATGACGCTACTCCGGTAGTATATAGAACAGTGAACAGTTGTGAGTGCCAGCCCTTGGAACAGGTGCCACTCCAGTTGCTGTCTCCCTGCTAGTAAGGCTGGCGTCATCTGCACCCGGACTGATCCAGCGAGGATGAATCTGTGATCTCTCTCTCCCTCTCTCTGCCTCTCATCTCAAATGATTTGCAGAGATGTCTGATGCTACTAGGAGACCCCAGGCAAGACATACACTTTTTCAGCCACATACAACCTGTCTCAGGGTCCCTTGTCCTGGCCGAGTCACATGTGGCAGACACTAAGGGTGGCACTTGCTTTGGCCTGTAGATCTAAGCCTGTAGTAGGCCTTGGTTCATTTAGTTTAAAGAAAATGAAGTTCTGATAGAATATTCAGAAAGCAGAAAAATGCATATCGTATTTGAAAGTGCGGTTTGTTTTTGTTTTTTGGGTCTGGTCGTGGGGCCTGAACTCTGGGCCTGGGCGCTGTCCCTCAGCTCTTCAGCTCAAGGCTAGCGCTCTACCACTTGAGCCACAGTGCCACTTCCGGATTTTTTTGTTTTTGCTTATGTGGTGCTGAGGAATCGAACCCAGGGCCTCAGGCATGCAAGGCAAGTGCTCTACCACTGAGCCACCTTCCCAGCCCTTTGTTTTTGTTTTTATGCTGATCTTGGGTCTTGAACTCAGGGCCAGGACACTGTCACTGAGCTTTTTTCTACCACTTTGAGATACAGTGCCACTTCCTATTTTCTGGTGGTTAATTGGAGGTGTCTCATGGACTTTCCTGCTCTGGCTGGCTTCAAACTACGATCCTCAGATCTCAGCCTCCTTAGTAGCTAGGATGACAGGCGTAAACCACCAGCGCCCAGCCAAAAATATGTTTTTAACACATGACTGAACTTTATTGGAGGCAGAATTTAACTGTAAGTAACATGTGGCAAGGCCTTAGAGGGGCCCCGGTGCACTGCTGACAGGTGGTTGGGATTCTCTCTTGGCAGGAGTCACTAGCTTCTGCCCTGCATCATCAGAGGTGCCTGCTAGAAGAGGATAAGGTTGCATCCCTGGACAGGGTGGACACTGAAGTCCTGCTCCTAGAGGGCCAAGCCACTCCACAGCAGCTGGGAGATATACATGCAGTTGAGACACAGAAGTCACAAATAGAGCTGGCCAAGCCCCCAGAGGTACAGGGACAGGCTGCTCAGGTGAGTGTTCCATGTGTAACAGGGATGGGGCACGCAAGCGCGCGTTTTGATGGAGTCCCTGGGTGCCACCTTGAAACCTTGATCATGATGCTGTGAGAACCACAGCCGCGCTCAGCGGTCCATGGCGACTGTGGGACCCACTGCAGTGGGTGAGGACCTAGCTCCATGGGGAGCAACGTCAAAGTGCTGGCTCATCCAGGCCTTGTGGTTGTCCTTGTAGAGTGGATTGCCAGCGTCTCTTCGTGGATGCCCCTGGAGAGTAGTCTTGGCCTAGTCTTACAGGCAAAGGTGACTCTTGGGACATGAGGCACTTTGACAGTGTAATGCAGAAGGGATTGATGATGACCGTTTTGTTTTGTTTGGCTGTCCTGGGCTTGAACTCAGGGCCTTGGCACTTTCCCTGTGCTTCTTTTGCTCAAGGCTAGCACTCTATCCCTTGAGCCACAGCACCACTTCTGGCTTTTTCTGTGTATGTGGTACGAAGGAGTTGAACCCAGGGCTTCATGCATGCGAGGCAAGCGCTCTACCACTGAGCCACCTTCCCAGCTGATGATGACTGTTTTGATTATTTTTGCTGGTCCTGGGGCTTGAACTCAGCCTGGGCACTGTCCCTGAGCCTCTTTATGCCCAAATCTATACCACTTAAGCCGTAGCACCACTTCCAGCTTTTTCTGAATACTTTCTTGGAGATAAGAGTCTCATGGACTTTCCTACCCCGGCTGGCTTCGAACCAGGATCTTCAGATCTCAGCCTTTTAAGTAGGATTACAGGTATGAGCCACCAGTGCCTGCCTGGTGATGATGACTGTTTCGGCCGAGGCATGAGAGGCATAAGGAGGAGAGGCGGGTGTAAGGCTATCTACTGAAGTGTTGCTGATGATGGCAGTGGCATGAGGAGGATTGGTAGGGAGGCCACAGTTGAGTTGTTGGTGCCGTTTCTAGGGAAGAATGTAGGAAGATGGTATGGGGCAAGCTGCTATGGGGTTTAACACAGAGCATGATTAGATACTTCTGGAAATCTGCACACCTTACAGTTTCTTTTTTAGAGTTTATCTAAATGCCAAATTATGTGGCAGTTTCATGGCAAAATCTAACAAAGCATTGAGAAACCCCTTTTATCCTTGGGAGGCTACAAGGACTGCTGCCCTGCTACCATGGGCCCTAGTCCATCTGTGTAGGAGAACATTCACTACCAGGGTCTCCCTTGTGCAAAGGCCCTGCATCAAGGTTACTCTATAGTCCCTGGTCTGCCTGATGAACTTGTATAAGTAGCATGTGTGCACATGACTTGAGAGGGCTGGCTTTGAGCCTCGTCCTCAGATCTCAGCCTCCTGAGTAGCTAGGGTTACAGGCGTGAGCTACTGGTTCCCAGCTTACCTTGCTTTTTAAAAGTCATTCTTAGAGCTGTGTGCTTGCTTTTTTTCATTTTTTAAATGCACTTTATTGTTATTATAGAGGTGATAAGAGTTGAGGGGTGGTGCGGGAAGAGTAGAGCTTGAACTCAGCCTGGGCACTGTCTCTGAGCTTCCTTGTGCTCAAGACTAACACTCTTACCATTTGAGCCGCAGTTTCACTTCTGGTTTTTGAGTGGTAAAAAACTGGAGATAATAGTCTTGTGGGGACTTTTCTGTGTGGTCTAGCTTCAAACTGTGATCCTTAGATCTCAGCCTCCTGAGCTAGTATTACTGATGTGAGCCACTGGTGTCACATACTTTTTTTTTTTTTTTTTAATTTTTTTTTTGGGTCCAGTCGTGGGGCCTGAACTCTGGGCCTGGGTGCTGTCCCTCAGCTCTTCAGCTCAAGGCTAGCGCTCTACCACTTGAGCCACAGCGCCACTTCCGGCTTTTTTCTTTTTTCTTATGTGGTGCTAGGAAATCGAACCCAGGGCCTCAGGCATACAAGGCAAGCGCTCTACCACTGAGCCACCTTCCCAGCCCTGTCACATACTTTTGAAGAAAATTTTTTCTATGTTGAGTGTGTGTGTGTGTGTGTGTGTGTGTGTGTACATACGTATACACATGTGCGTGGTCTTGGGTGCCTGCGGGTGCCAGTGGGGGTTGAACTGTGGGCCTGGGCACTATTCCTTAGCTTTTCCTGCTCGAGACTGGTGCTTTTCCATTTGAATCAAAACACTATTTTTGGGTTTTTGGAGATTAATTAGACATAAAAGAGTCTCAGTGATTTTTCTTCCTGGGCTGGCTCTGAACTTTGATCATCATATCTCAGTCTCCTGAGTTGGTAGGATTATAGAAAGCCATGCTTGTTTTCTGTTGTTGTTGTTGTTTGTCAGTTGTAGGGCCTGAACTCTGGGCCTGGGCGCTGTCCCTCAGCTCTTCAGCTCAAGGCAAGCACTCTACCACTTGAGCCACAGTGCCACTTCTGGCTTCTGCTTATGGGGTGCTGAGGAATCAAACCCAGGGCCTTATGCATGCAAAGCAAGTGCTCTACCACTGAGCCACCTTCCCAGGCCCCGTGCTTGTTTTCTGGGTCACCACAATGCTGTTGAAACATCTGTGGTGACTGTTGTATGCCTCAGAACTGTGTTGAGTGCAGTAATTTTGACCATTTTTGGGTGTGGCACAACCTTGTTCAGTTGTTCCTCTCTCCCCTAGTCTGAATTTGTGTGTGACTGATGCCGTCTCATGAGAATACTTGTGTTCCACTAATCTCAGACAAAGCAGTTTGGCTAGAAGAGGTGTGGTCCTGCATAGTTATTTAGGTTAACTTTTTTGGGTATGGGGTATATTTAGACACCTAAATAATTGAATAATTAAATAAACTCCTCATCGCACTTAGTAGGGTATGCACCAGTCTTAGTGCATCAGTTCCCAGACATTGCCATGACCCATCCTAAGAAGTCTTCAGTTACTCCTTCGTTCCTGTGTTGTTCCAGTCCAGGTGTGGGTGTGCAGACTAGACTCACACAGAGCTTTGATGCATTGGACCAGCTCTCCCTTGTGCCCTGGATTTGTGAAGGTGGGTTTGCAGGGATAGCCAGAATGACTGCTAGTGAAACACTTCCTCTCAGGCAGACATTTTGGAAACCCTGTCAGGGTGCTCCTCGGGATACCAGGACCGTTGTCCTAAAATAGCAGGGACAAGCTGTTCTTGCTGTTTGGCCGTGGCCACTCCAGGCCACAAATATCTTTGCACCTGTCTAGAGAGGCTCATTCAGCTCACACACTTGAGGCAGCTGGGTTACTTTTCATGTTATGCCTTTTGGAGTTTGGTTGTGAGAAACTCTCAAAACGTAAGCCTAATTTCTTTTCATTAATGAAGTCTGAGCTGGTGACACTAAGCAAGGCCTGGGGTCCAGAAATGAGCTATGGTGTGACCCGTCATGATTGTTTAGGGCTTTTATCCTGTTTTCTTCGATAAGTACTAACCATGTTCATAGGTTAACTTTTGGAAGTATTAAGAGAACCTGTAATCAGTTTAGATGTTTGAATGTCTTTAATTCTTTATTTGGCAAGTTTATCTTCATTCTCATGTTGGTTGGGTTTTTTTTTTTTGGGGGGGGTATGGGTGTATGTCCTTTTTTCTTCTGTAGGAATATCAGTTATGTTTTATGACAAAATTATGTGTTTTTTTCTATATTTCTGAGAATTAAAAAAAACAGGAAAAAAAGCCTTTTTAAAAACATCCTTTCTTAGACTGACCTTACCACTTAGAACACAATAAACTGAACTGAGTTTTTTTCCATGCTGGAAATAGAAATGATTGTAAAAGGTAGGATCCCCTGCATGGGCGGCAGGAGCTGTTGAGTATAGTCAGGGCCTACCAGATAGCCAGCCATGGCTGTCTAGAGGCCCCGAGCCTGAGCCTCACCCAGCTGCACACCTGCCTGCTCCCCCAGTCCCCCCACTTTCCCCCACCTCCCCCCAGCATCTCCTTGAAGTCATTCTCTTTCCTGCTGTGAAGCTATTCTTGGATAGGGGTACAGAGGGAAGGCAGGTCTACAGCTGAATGGAGCCTACAGCTCTGCTTTTGAGCAGCAGGTCTGGGGCCAGCCTGTGTGGGCTCCAGCTTCCATAGTGAGGCCATAGGTCCCGTTGGTTGTTACCCTTCTGCACTGGGTCCTCAGTGGAGGCACTTCCACCCTTTCTGTTTCTGGACATTGACACACAGAGGCCATTTGTACTGACTTGAGAAATGTGCTGTAGCCTGCTAGGTTATTCTCTGCTTATCATTAATGGGATTAATTCATCTATGTGAGCCTTACTGTAAAAAAGAAAAAACATATTATTTAGGAAAGCATGTTTACCTTTTAAAGCTGATGGAACACAGGTTTTGAGTATCTTGGATTGCCGTGGTCAGATCTTAGCCTCCTGAGTAGCTAGGCCTATAGATGAGCTGTGTTACCAGCAGTGCCTACTTGGTATCTGTTTTGTTTTTTGTTTTCTGTTCTGCCAAACTTTTTTCCAGCAGCTGTGCCATTTTACTTTCCCCATCAGTACTGAACAGGGTTCTGATTTTTCTACATTATTATTACTATTATTATGATTATTTTTGGGAGATTGGTCGTGGGGCTTGAACTCAGGGCCTGGGCTCTGTCCCTGAGCTCTGTTGCTTAAGGCTAACACTTTGAGCCACAGCAGCATGGACTTTCCTGTCCCTGTAGGCTTTGAACTGTGATTTTCAGATCTGTCTCCTGAGTAGAGCTAGGATTACATGTATGTGCCACCAGCACCTGGCTTGATTTTCTCTAGAGTCTATTCTTATCAATACTTACTTTCCTTTTGTTTCATGGGACTTTTGTGCTTACCACTTGAGGCATGCCCTTTTTGTTTTAGTTAGGCAGAATTTGACTTTTTGCCTGAGACGGCCTTGGATCATGACCCTTCAGATCTATGACCTGCTTGCTGCTGTTGTCACTGTCACCTCTTCTTCTCCATCCTTCCCAGCCCTTCCCTTCTCCTCTTCCTTATCTTTGTCCTCTTCCTTCTTTCCCTTCTCCATCTTCAGCTTCCCTCTTTACTTTTTCTTTCTCCCCTTTCTTTTCCTTCTTTCTTACCCTTTTCCCTTTCTTCTTTCTTGTCCTTTTCCTTTCCTTCCTCTCTCCTTTTCTTCCCCTTCTCCTTCTCTCTTCCCTTTCTCGTCTCTTCTTTTTCCTTTTTTCTTCTTTCTTCCTTTCCCTCTCTCATCTCTCCTCCCTCTCCTTTTTTTGCCATCCTACTGCTACTAGGTATGAAGAGGTACCTCATTGTGGGTTTGTTTTGTGATTCCCTAATGATTAGTTTTGTTACCTCTGTTTTCACGTACTTATTAAAGCAGCTTGTATATATGGAGAAAGGTCTTTTCCAGTCCTTGGTCATTTTTTTAAAGGACTGTTTTTTTTTTTTTTTTTTTTGGGTCTGGTCGTGGACCTGAACTCTGGGCCTGGGCACTGCCCCTCAGCTCTTCAGCTCAAGCTAGCACTCTACCACTTGAGCCACAGTGCCACTTCTAGCTTTTTTTTTCCTGCTTATGTGTGCTGAGGAATTGAACCCAGGGGCCTCATGCCTGCAAGGTAAGCGCTCTACCATTGAGGCACCTTCCCAGCCCCCAGGAGTGGTTTGTTTTTGTTGTTGAGTTCTTCATTATTGTATATGAAGGCAAACGTGTGTTTGCATTGTGTGTTACAGATAGCTCATATTGATCTCTGAGAGCTGTGTGCACCAGACAGATCTCTCCTCTGACTGACATCCAGTGGTTGTGCATACCTGATCCCATTTATGGGGAAGCTCAGTGGTTGGGTGCAGAAACACACATCTGTATCATCCTAGGAATGAGGGAAGCACAGTAACAGTGCAGGGTAGACTTGGCAGGAAGTAAGACACATTTGGACAAAAAGCATTAGCAAAGTGGCTTAAACGGTAGTATGTCTGTCCTCTGTCAACCCCTGGCCACTGTCATTGGCTATCATCCAGGGAGGGGGATATAACCCTGCCTTGAGCCATCTGGGATGTATACGCGTTGGTGTGCTGGGAGCATTCTGGTATACACTGTCCTTTGTCTCTTGGTGTTATTATTTAACGTGTGTGTGTGTGTGTGTGTGTGTGTGTGTGTGTACACTCTACACACATACATCTGTCTAGATCTCTCTCAGAGAGAGAGTTTTGTTTGTTTGTTAGTACTGAGCATGGTGGGTGAACCCAGGGCCTAACACAAACATACTATGGCCACTGAGTTACTTCCCCAGCCCATTTTTTACTTACTCCGTTTTCTTTAATTTTTGAGTCACTTGTATGTGTTAGTGGGACTCAGCCACTGATTTTACAGAATCTGTGTGTTTTTCTATTTCTCCTCCATTAATACTGTATTTATGGTAGGTATGATTTCCTGTAGTAGGTTGGTTATATAATCACACTCTCCTTTTTTTCCTCTGGTCTATTTTTTCTTTTTTTAAATTTCTTTTTGTTAGTCCTGGGGTTTGAACTCATGGTCTAGGCACTGTCCCTGAGCTTCTTTTGCTCAAAGCTAGCACTCTACAACTTTGAGCCACAGCACTACTTCAGGCTTTTTCTTTTTATGTGGCACTGAGGAATTGAACCCAGGGCTTCATGCATCCTAGGCAAGCATTCTACTGCTAAACCTCCTTCCCAGCGCTGTGTTTTCTTTGTACACTAAGATTATTGTGGGACTCCTCGCTGGCCCCTGCTTGCTCCCTGCCCCACAGAGGCCCCTTCACATGGCCTCTCTCCATAAAGACCATTTACCTTTGGCTTCTGCTCTCTGTTCCCAACCTAGAGCCTGTTGGCATGTCGTTGGCCCGTCCCTGCCCTGTAACAGTTGTGGAAAGGATGGCCTCCCCATGCTGTCCACAAGGGAAGTTTCTCCCTGTGCTCTTGGTCTTGAGTCTGCAGAGTGTGCAGCGATGTTGTATTGTAGCCTCCTCTGCTCTTTCTTGTGTGGCGGATGCCCATGTTTATGTTGGTGAAGTCCTAGTCTCTGGTGAATGGCCCTCAGGGATGTTTTGACTTAAGGGTTCTGGCTGGAGTATTTCCCTTTATGCTTTTCCCAAGCTTCACAAGATTGCTGGGATCCATTGTTACTGTGAGAGACAGCACTGGGGAGCCCATTTTTTATTAGATATAATTGTTAAAGTTACAGAATTTTCCCATAGCAACCTACAGTTAACTAATTGTTTTAACTGGGATTCAATACTTTTTCTCAACAGCTGAAAGACCAAGTCTTGTCCCTGCATCAGGAGGTAGAACAGTGCCACGCTGAGCTCGAGAGGCTGCGGCAGAGGCGTGAGAGGGAGAACCAGGAGGGTGCTGCCCTCATCTGCATGCTCCGGGCAGATGTGGACCAGTCTGAGAGTGAGGGGTCAGTGTGTCCCTGGCATCATGCTGCCGTCTGACTGGTCCACGGTGTTCTCCTTGAGTATCTACGTCTGGTGGACAGAGACCCTGGCCACAGTGCTCTTCTTACTGAAAAATATCTCAATGTCGAGATAATGTCATGAATGTGATGAACACCTGTATACTTGCCAGTTTACTTTTCCAAATCTTCACATTTTACTAGCCCTACTTACTTCACATTATCTTCCTTTGTGTCTCCTACAATCCCATCCCATCTAACCAGTAATAGTACTACTTCCTGCCTGGGAGTCCTTTCCCAGGTTGTTACGGGTCAGGAACCTGTCCTCTGTGTTCTGGGACCCTGTGGTATGCAGGCTAGTCAGCCAGGGAATTCCTTTTTTTTTTTTTTTTT